ATGATTATACATTTTTTTAATTTTTGACCTATGACCCCATAGGCTACTGTGCATAAATAAATGTTATTTTGTTTAGGTTTTAAGTAAAAAGTATTAATTTTACAAAATTCAATTAATCCTTAAATTTACTAAATGACTTTGGAACATATCTCTAGGATAAATATAAAACTATCACCTTGATGATATCAGGGATTGATTGTTCCGATGAAAAAAAAAAATGACATCTGCCTACCATTGTTGAATACATAAAACCCTATGAATTGAACCACTTTCTCCTTTATGGTAACATTAAGCCCACACCATCTGCTTGCCAGATCACCAAAGACAAGCAAGTAGTTCACAATCAAAGAGCAGTTTACCAACCAAGAGTCACCACTAAAATGATTATCAAATAAGTAAAACCTTTTTGAAAGCAAATTCTCATAGTCACTTGCAATAAGATGAGTCACTTTTCTATGCAGTATTTATTCACCCTGAAGCATTGAAAGTCATGAATAAATCTATTCCTTTTAGATGCTGACCTCAGCCTTTGGTCATTTAACTTCATTATTAATGCCATAATCAGTCTACTGGCATTGCTCTACTGATGCTCTTTAATATTTCCATCAATAAAGCAACCCAGCCATTTGGGGCAGTAGAATACACTAGTTGCATCTCTGCAGAGAGGTAATACCTGCCCCCAAATGGGTCACTTGTTTGCCATGAGTAACAACTCATGACACCTGAGGATGGGATCCTGGTGGCTGAGCAGTTGATGATCCTAGGTATTAAGAGGTCATCGGCTGCAAAACTCCACTTTGGCCCTTTGGATAGATTGGCAGTCAGAGAGGTTTCGTCTGATTAATCAGCTAGTTACGTCAAGTCCTAATACTTATATGCACCAAAAACACTTAATCATACTTCCAATCCAAAGTCATACACTCCATCACATAACCTAAGAAATAAATGAATGTATACTGAAACATATAAGTAAAAATAAAAACTATTATCAGAAGGCAGTGACAACGGTCAGTTAATGGGTTCCAAACTTATGAATTTATTGTACTTGAATCAATAGAAGAAATTCTCATTACTAAATTGTCACCATTTCTAATGGAAAAAATATATCCTCAAATGGTACAATATTGGATAATCTATTGTTAAGATAGAAACGTACATCACTGGACCATTCTACAAATGCTAAAGATTTGTCCATCACAAAAGAGAGATCTGGAAAAGAGAAAGAAATAAGAATAAAATATACAAAAACATCACTTTTCCAGGAGCAAGAGAAATAGTGAAAAGTACCCTCTCTACTTCTTCATATGCTGAAATTACAAAAAAAAAAAAAAAGCTGCCCCAAAAAATCACCAACCCAGAATGTCAAAAATGTGGCATGATAACAAATAAACTCTGTGAATCGAAATCTGATGAGATAACTTCCCTAATAAATGAATTTAAAACAATACTCAGAGACATAAAATCCACAACAAAACCATAATCAACCTCCATACCAACAAAAATTAATCAACTGCCTCTCAAAGAACTAAATCCAACTAACTTAGAAAACAAATCATATAAAATAAAACAAAAATACCAGAAATTCTAATACAAAATTGATTTGAGTTATTGGAATTGGTGAAAATCAAAAATACCCAAAATTCTAAATCTCAAAGTAAAAACTCCAAAGAAAGAAAAAAATAGAAAAATCTAAAGACAAACAAAACCCCAAACAAGACTTAAACAGTAACCAGGGCAAAACTCAAAACCTAAACCTAAAAGTAGATTACATAGTATGCAACATATGGCACATTGATAATTATGAAAGCAAATCTAGGATAGAAACAGAGGATGGTCCTCCATCTACAAAATCAAAACAGAATAAACATGGCCTGTAGACAGGGCTAGATTTAGATGAAGTGAGGCCCTAGACTATTCCACTTCTGAGACCTCTCCAAGTCCCCATTCTCATGACTAGAGGTAAATAAAAGAGTGTTAGATTAAACAATTTGAGTAAAGCCAAGGATGATAGGTGTTTAAAATTACTTAGTCTACAATGCATTATGGCAGCATGTGTAAGAAAGGCCTGACAGTGTCAAAAATATTATGCACCTTGGCTGGAGGCCTCAGATTTTGAGGCTCTAGGTTTCAGCCTGCTAAGCTTATAGGTAATCTAGCACTGCCTGTAGAGCAACCATTTTGAAATAGAACTGTAGGGGAATTAGAGCAAGTTTTCAAATAACTGATGGCAGACTATAATCCAAATATAGTCTACTTATAAGCAACAATGGAAAAAGAATCTGAAAACATGTAATTTAAAGGATATAAAAATGATAAAAAAAACACCAAGTCAGCCATAGATAATAAAGTACCTCAATACTGGTAAAGATATCACTCCATACAAGATACTACACTTGAACACCAATTTACAAGCCATGGCTATTAAAACCACTCTTCACTGAACATTAACCATATACTCACTATATATCTTTCTGACATATCAATTAGAATAAACCATCTACTAGACAAGGACTTTCTATTCACTAGACCTTCCAGTACCAACATGCTAACTGAGATTCAATTCATGACATTCTTCAAGACCCCGACCAATTGATATTCTTAACCTTCCTATCGAGAATTGTGCCAATGAGATTTCTTGCATCAAAGTTTTCTATTCCTCCTCTCTTCACTCAATTTGAGGTGTTAACAACTTCTGCTGATAAAGCAGAATGTCTTGCCATAAATTCTTTTCAAACCCTACTCTTGACTCATTTGGCATATCCTCACCTGATTTTTCACTTAGAACAGAGTCTAGGTTGAATGATATGCAACCTTCCTTGATCTCTGTTATCATCTCTAATCTGGCTTTTGTTCTCTCTAAACTGTACAATAATTGCCTTGCTTTCCTGATTGTTTGAAATACTCTTCTGCTGTTCCAGTCTTTAAGAACTTAGTTCAAAGTGTTAAACAGTTCACCTATCAGGCTATTGACCTCTTTTTGGTAAACTACTAGAGGGCTTAACCAAAGCTGAATTGATTAAGCATCTCACATCAGAGGGTCTTTTTTCAGACAAGCAATATGGTTTTTCTTTCTCTAGGTCGACCATTGATTGACTGACAATTAGATAAAAAATGGTGAAGCTGAAAGTGTTGCTTTCAAAATCTCTAAAACTCTTGACAGGGTCATACTTGTTTTCTTCACAAGTTGAAAGGTTGTGGTATTTTTGAATGAATTTTTGAACCGATTCGGCCTTTCTTATCAAATCACAAAATGAAAGTTGTCCAGAATGGCCACTCTTCTAGATCTTTTTGTACTAATGCACGTGTCTCCCACTTTGTTCTTAATTTTAATCAGTGACTTTCTAATTGGCAGCTATCTAAAAAATAAATGGGTCAAGAAATGGCATGTTAATTTTAACATCTCAAAAACAAAACTTCCTCTCTATTAATCACCTGAGCGACCATTTCCTGTCTCCCATCACCATGGTTGATGCTAACCTCCTTGAGTGACTCATTGTTGTCTTCTCAGGCTAACATTCAGCTGACATGAAGTGGAAAGATTATATTGAATCAATTGCTAGATCTGCGGCTAAGAAAATTGGTTCACTATATTGTGTTAGACAATTTTTCTCTCCTGAATCTATCTTTATGTATTTATAAATCTACCATTCATCTTTGCTTTGAATATTGCTGTCACATATGGTCCAGTGCTAATGCTATATATTTAGAGATTCTTGATAAAAAAAAAAGAATAATCTGCAATGTTATTGATCCTGACCTGGCATCTCTCTTTTGGCTTGCTTCCCAGTCAATTCTCTAACACTTGCATCCTAATGGCTTTATTACTTTGCTGGGGTAAAAAAGGAAAAACAAAAAAATATATACCAGCTAAGTGCTGAAGATGTACCTCAATGCACCTATTGCAATCATAGATTGATGGTTAAACACATTCTGATTGGATGTAAAAGTTATCAGATATGTCACAAATATAAAAACATTGTTTAAAGATGTTGCCCCTGGCCAGATTATAGTATTTGTAAAAGAAATAGGAATTTTTTAAATTCCTTTAAAAACTGTTTATGTATGGGTATGTAAGGAGGACTGCTTTAAATGAATTCAAATTGACAGATTAAACAATCTATTTAAAATGAATTACGACTACAAAACTAAGCCCCTCTAACTATTGGTAAAAAAGAAAATTGTATATGTAATATATGTATTCACCTGGTTGGCCTAAAATGACCCATCAGAGTTGACATACTGTTAAACAAAGTCTAACCAATCCAAATTTTACCAATTGTTTCTCTAGCTCACTGTCTCTAAAACATTTTGCTTATTCTTTGATTTGTTAATAAACAAAAAAATTATTTTTATGTATTTTTGTTTTTCATCTATTTTTGATTTCAAATGTGTTAGTTACTCTATGTACATGCATTTTTATTTATTTTATTTATACACACAAAGTTCATTAAAGACAACTGACAAGGTACTATGATTAAACTTTTTATTTAATTTTTCTTGTGTTCATACAAATTTATTTTTTTACCAAACTCCAACCAAAACATACTAGTAGAAAATACAAGCATAACAGCTTCATCTGCCTATAAAAAAGATTTAAAATAATGGAAGCCTTAATAATAAAAAAAGGAAAAGCCCACACTCAATAACCTGGACATGGCCACAACGTGCTGACCCTGTTTGGAAAATAAAACATTCCTATAATTTCAGACACATTCATAAAAAAAAACCCACACATTAAGTGAAAAATAAAAATCACCCTTGATAATGGCTAAATGAATAGTCAAAAGCACTTGTATATGCAGCACTTTTGGTCGGTTTTTACACACTTTGTGTCCAGAAAAGAAAAGAATTGTATGAACACAAGAAAAATAAAAAGCTTTATTGCAGTACCTGTCAGTCATCTTTAAGAAAACTTGTATAAAAGAAGGATCACTGCCCAAGTACACAAAATATATATGTAATCAGCCTATATTTGTTTTGCTCCATTTTTTCTTCTACAGATTCTTCTCGGTCCAAATGTTTGCCATTTGTGATTGATGGTCAGCAAGTTGGCCTTATTCGTCCTGATATTTGGCAGAATTTAAAATCCTACACTGATATTTTCCACTTGGAAATGAGTTCTTCCCAATCTGTGATTCATTTGAAAAATCTTGGGGATGTTTCTGAAAGGAGCAAGCAATTTGCTGCTTTCATGATAAAACTGAGAGACAAGAATATATTTACGACATTAAGAGGATGGAGAAATGAGGTAGGCAGAAAATTTACATCTACTTTGATCACTTAAATTTGTTTCATTCTTTTTCAACAAGATTTGACTATTTATTAAATCCCAATCAGTGATAAATTTGTGACATCTGCCAGATCTTTCTTAGTTGTTGCTACCATCTTTTCAATTCCATCATTCCTATTTTAAAGAATTTATTGTTTCTGTCATTTTTTTAAATTTTTTTTTTATTGTTTCTGACATCAGGAATTATGCTGATCAATTTGAACTAATATCCTTATCCTGGTTATTACAGTCATTGCATTTCAGCCTTTATACCATCTGGTATTCTTCAGGTGCCTGTTATATTTGTTAATGTTCTGAGAAATTTCAACCAATTCCTTTATTCATTATATTGTCCATGCTGGGAAATAACATCTATCATTTAATTTATCCCCATGATGCTACCTGATAAGTAAAAGAATCATTGAATTTGTTATGATCTAATAACCTCTTCAGTAAGAAAGATTGGTTCTGCATCACTTTGAGCAGATACAGGTTAGCATCTTGCATCAGAATGTTTAAACTTATTAGTGAATTTGAACACTAATGTTAATATTCTTAATAATCTAGATAACTTCTAATGCTTCCCCAAAGATATGATTGGTTCTAAAAAACTAGCATAGCTAATGTTGTTATATACTTAACTAGCAGCATGGCCCAGCATTGCCCGTACTTGATTAAAAAATCGTACGACTCCTACAGCAATCGCTATCACTTGACTTAAAATGTTTTTCCCCTTCCTCGCCTTTAAAGGAGTGCCCTTTGCCGTGCTGATGTTGCTACATGCCTTACTTCTTGCCTATCTCACACTGCAAACTTTTTCTAAGCTCTATACTAAACATTAAATCGACTCAGAACTGGAAGAACCGAATGAAAAAGAATGTTAACAACAAATACTTTTTTCACACCCAACCCAGTTCTATGGAATCAGAATCAACGTTGAGTTTAAGTGTTTAATGAGCCAATTGGAGTAAAGTGCCATGCAGATTTAAATTTTTCCCACTTGTGACGAATGCAGCTATCGATTTTTGCATGCTAGCATGCTAGTTAACATTTGTGTCAGTCAGCTGTTGGCTCTCACTCTGGCCAGTAGAAAATGGCCGCAAACTACATGAAAACTGCCATAAAAGCATGAAAAAATCGATTATTTCCACTATTGATGGGAGTTGGGAAATGCAAAGTCAGTCTTGGCCTTCCTGCTAACTTGGAACATGTGCATGTAAATTTTGGTGCAAATTCATCAAAAATTGCAGCCGTGCATTCGTTACACACACACACACACACACACACACATTTTGCTGCCTTTTTATATATATATATATATATATATATATATATATATATATATATTGTATTGAGCACTTTTATATTATTTTAGCTGTTGGTAGGGAGAGCTTTACCTTTGATTGTGGTAGATGCTATTTTCAGTACCCTAATTATTTTATTAGATGCTTTTGTCAGTACCCTAATTATTTTATATTCAATGTTTTGGGGTTTTTTTTTTTTTTTTAAGCATTTCACCCCAAGCAAGTCAGAAGTGCCATTATCACACAGGGGGTTATGGAGAGTGAAAATGAGAGAAAAGAGTGGGTGTAGGGGGGATTGAAGAAAGGAAAAAAGAACAGGTATCAACGCAACAAAACGTGGTGACTGAAGTTGCATTTAGATTTTTGATGATTGTAGTTATCAGGGAAGCAAGTGAGAGGAATGGAGTTCCAATATGGAGAAGTGTGAGGAAAGAAACTGTTAGAAGGGCAGTTGCATTTAACTATTTCAACAGTAAAAAGTTGGAACCTAGATGCCAATCTAGTAGTATTCATGTAGTCAGGGCAGCAGGGAAAAATGCTCATCAGTGCAGTAGCCATGAAAATATTTGTAGAAAAGACAGAGGGAAGCCACATCACGTCTGTGAGAAAGCGGCTGAAGTCAAGAAGCTAATTCAGTACTGATTACATTACAGATCCTACTTTAAATTTTTTTGAGAATATTGCAGTAAGGGAAGGTAGGGGAAAATTTTAAGGATAAAACTTTAACTGTGCAACCAGTAATAAAAATCACAGAAATGCAATCTATGTTGTTATTCATTTAAACATCATCATCATTTAATAGTAATAAAAAATATATATTTAAAGTAATAATAATAGTAATAAAAGTAATAGACAGATACACACATATACAATACACACATACATATATACATACATATATATAAACTTACATAGTTACAAACCTAATATATATTTTTCAGTGTTTGAAGCAAAATAAATGTCTATTTTTAAGACTATACAAACTTATTTTTTATGATGACATTTAAGTATAAATTCTGGTTCAATAACTGGCTTGTATTTTTGTACTTAATTATTTTAATTTTTTCTTCCAGGCATAGTTTGCATCTGTATCTGTTTTTTATATATATATATATATATATATATATATATATATATATATATATATATATATATATATATATATATGAATGCAAGAGAATGATAGGATAAGGAACAAATAGAAAATCTTTATAAATCTGACATGCTTTGCTTTTATTAACACTTGAGATGTGAAGGTTTATTTTACACGAGGGTCACCCAAGTGAAGGTGAGAGGGGGAGCACGTCGCAGTATTTACTCATTTCCCCACTAGAACGAGATGTGACACAAGGTCAGTTTAATGTGGGGACCCGAGCATGTACACCCAGGCAGGGACAAAAATTCCCCTCAGCCCCTGCAACCGTCAGTTGCGCTGGCCTCGGTGTGAGCACCGATCATTCTCTCTGGTGCAATGGGAGGGCGCGGCCTCGGGCAGCTGTTCCCCATGGCTGGGCACCTCTTCAGTATTATTTTTTCAGTTGCCCCTCTGTCCTTAGACAGAGAAGCCCCTGAGCACACTCTGTCCAAGGACAGAGATGCAACTGAGAGATGATAAATAATGCGTGTACACCCCTCCAAGGCGGGGGAGCACGACGCTCTCTTGGTGGAAGAAATCGGCTGTGTTTATGTCAGCATCATAGCTGGTTGGCAATATCTTTTGGTTGATGACTAAAAATTAACTTCCACATTTTGACTGTACACATGGGTTTCATTTGGACACCATGTGTATTTAAAGTAGTTTCCAGTTATTATTTTTAGTTAGGAGGACTTGTGTATGTTTAGGTTTCAGTTGTTTACTTTTTGTGTATCGTTCTCTGAAAAAAATGCTGAGTCACCGGAACTTAACGGCATTCGGACGTTTGAGTAGCTGGCAGTAACTTCCGTCTGGTTGCAATACCCTTAACCGTGCTTTCAAATTGATTTTGTGCAAAAACAATTGTGTTTTTCCAATTTTTGGCACTGTCAGAACCACTACCGGGTAATTTTATGTAGTCCTGTGAAGTTTTGTTGAAATCAGTTGAAAAATGTAGGAAATATGATCCCATATATAAATGTACAGACACACACACAATCTGCGTTTTATAATAAGTAAGATTTTGAATAACATCCTTATTGCAATCACTCAAGGAATGTAGACCACTTTCAGGTCAAGCTACTGAGCCTTATTTAACCAAGAAGGACAAGAAGTCCAAAATTTAAAGATGTGTCTAAACTTTACCAGAGACAATCCCCAAGTTAAATCTGTAGGGTTTTCTGAGAAAGGCACATATTTGAATTTTACTAATAACCCGTGTTTAGAATCTAACTCTTCTAGGGCTACCTTAACGACTTTTAATCTATTCTTAACTGGTTTTTAGTTTTTATGTTTTCAGACAATAATCAAGATAAAACTATCTGAGTATCAACAGCAATAGTTACAACTTTGATAAAGGTTTCAAGATGTTCTTAATGCATTTCACAGCTAAGTACACTGATAACAACTCAAATAAAGGCAAAAAACTATCTTAGCCTTAACAAAAATTGAGGAGGCTATAGAATCCTGTTTTATTTTGGAGATAAAACCATGTCTTTTTGGAGACATCACAAAATAAATACAGTTCTGCTGATAACTGGGAAATTTCAAAGATCAACTTCCTTAGTTAAATTATTCCAGGTCTTTTGCTATTATATTGGTATAATTTCATCCCAGCATAATTTTAATTTCCACAACTCACTTAAAAGTGGCTTAAATTCTCCCTTTAATGGTCAGTAGCAAGCACAAAGACAAGGAGTCAAACTTACTAGAATTTTCGTGCCAGTATTGTTGGCAGGAGAATCTAAAACTCCCATTGAAATTTCTAAAGTATCTTTGACGGTATTATACTTTATATATATATTTTAAATCTGTTTTCAACAGTGACTACCAGGAATAGTCTGTCTGACGACCGAGGAAAGACTCGGTGACAGCTAGAAAGACAGTTGGCAAGCCGGAAAGACGGCTATTCGGAGTCTGCAGGGTTCGCACCCCTAATGACATCTCTCTTTGTTCTAAAGAGATTCCCCGTTTCATGCTACAGATAGAACAAGGAATACATACCCCCAGGGGATCCCGAGGGGGGTGGGGGCATGCGATCCCTGGTAGGATGGATACAACGGTTATGACCACAGCAAACGCCCCAAGGACTTCTGACTTGATATGCCACTGCGGAGAGATGTGCAAGAATCAGCGTGGCCTAAAAATACACCAGGCCAAGATGAAATGTGCAGTAATGGCTGAGAACTCACAATGCATAGGTGTTACACCAAGTAAGACGGAGGTAGAGCAGGTCCCGGTGACAAACCACAGCGCCCAGCATCACCCAGTGCGGACTCAGACCTTGCCAGACAGAGTAGACTCTAAGCGGATTAAATGGCCCCCAGCAAACAACAAGAAAGCTTGGCGTGATTTTGATGAAGATGTATGCATTATAATCCAAGGCACATCTGCAGGTAACATAGACCGACGACTTCAAGCCATGAGTAAACTTATCGTCAGCTACGGATCAGAGCGTTTCGGCCACATTGATAAAACGAGAAATAAAATGTACACTGAGAATAGGCGTAAAGGAAGGATAAGAGAAGTAAGGCAGGAATTAA